CACAACTGTTTTGGAATTAGTGGTGATATGAATTGTGAATGTACCAAAAGCCACAGCATTGTGAATAAACTGAAAGAAATCACTGAACTGTACACTTTAAAAAGGCTAAATTGGGAATTTTATCTCAATTAAAAACGAAGTCCCCCCGCCCCCGGGCTTAGCAATATGGAGATAATGGTGACTTTAGTGCGAAATGTTCATGGCACGGATGAGGGTGGAAACAGAACAGAGGCTGTTAAGAAAGGAGAGGAGGGAAAATGGAGGCGGGGAGAGAAGTGGTCCTTCAGAGAAGTCTCGTTTTATTTTATTTTATTTTTTATTTTTTTAAAAGATTTTATTTATTTAACACAGAGAGAGAGAGAGAGCGTGGCAGGCAGAGGGAGAGGGAGAAGCAGGCTTCCCACCGAGCAGGGAGCCCGATGCGGGGCTCGATCCCAGCACCCTGGGATCATGACCTGAGCCAAAGGCAGATGCTTAATGACTGAGCCACCCAGGTGCTCCGGAAGTCTTGTTTTAAAGGGGAGGCCAAAGGGAGGGTGGTGGAGGGAAGATACCGAGTCAAGAAAGTTTGGGATGGGACCTGAAAATATTTAAATTCTGTTGGAAAGGACCCAGGGGACCGATCTGGAGAAGAAAGTGATCATGAGTTGTGTTGAATAACGATACAGTTTCAGAGTTGAAGGGACTTCTGTGGTTAATGGTGTTTTCCTAACCTGGATCTCCATTTCATACAACAAAGTAGGCGAAAAATAATCCTGAAGCAATCCTCCAATTTAAACTTGAACATTGTGTGGGGCAGGAATCCTTCTGTCTTCTAGGGCCAACCATTCTATTTTCAGATGGTTTTGACTATACTGGGGTGGGGGGGGGTTGAGGGAAATCAGCAGGGAAGAACTGATTGATCACAGGGGCGATAATGTTTCTTCTATAGAATAAAACCTCTCTGCTTCTTAAATGGACTTTAATCTTATTTCAGTAATTTCCTTCATTCTCACTCCCCGAAGGACCCAGTGCTGCCAATTCCTGAAACTTCGGGAAAGTTTCTAGTATTAGTTGGGTTGATTCTCTGACTTTTTTACTGGTACCTTAATATTCAGTTTTCTTGGTTTTGTAATTTATCACCACTCATCTGTCTGATTTTCAGCTTTTGGATTTTTATTGCTATTTTCTCCTTTCTTTTTCTCCCTGAACTTGTTGGGTTCTATTTTTAAAAAACCTTTCAAAATTCTCTTTTTAGTGTGGTTTTGGTAGATATATGTGTCCAATCTGCCACCTCTACCTTCTCTCTCTCTCGTTTTTAAAGATTTTATTTATTTATTTATTAAAGATTTTATTTATTTGACAGAGAGAGACACAGCAAGAGAGGGAACACAGGCAGGGGGAGTGGCAGGCAGAGGGAGAAGCAGACTCCCCACTGAGCAGGGAGCCTGATGTGGGACTCGATCTCAGGACCGTGGGATCATGACCTGAGCCGAAGGCAGATGCTTAACTGACTGAGCCACCCAGGCGCCCCTCTACCTTCTCTTTTTCTCTCTTTTTTTTCTGCCAGAGAATATGTCATGTGTTTTTGTATCCCTTCACTTTTATGGTTACTCTCCTTTGACTAAGTAGGAGGCGGGTTCCAGTAATAAGCCATTTCTCTTGCTTGGTATGGGGGCAGGTTTTGGGAACCTATTGTCTTCGTGCAGCCATCAGGAGGATTAATCACCCTGAGTAATGGGTATAATCTCCTTTGGTGTGTCATCTCCTTTCCCCATTCTGAGAATGTGACCTCATTTTATTGCATCCCTTATTATATTTCAAGTCATAAACTTCTCCCTAACTTTCCAGCCTGCTGTGACTGCTTTGTGTTCTGATTCTGTCCCCTGGCAGGTTTACCTGGCCCTCCTCTCTCCAGCCTGCAGATTTGACCATCAGGTCACCAGAGCTCTTTTCAGGCCCCGGGAAAAACTGTGGCTGGGGTAGGACAGGAGATTTCATGATCGTCTCACCAAACTTTGCAGACAGAAAGACCGGGTCTGGCTCTTTTCTGATGATTTATGCATGTGAATTTGTTTAGGTGACTCTAGGCATGGGAAAATATACTTCAGAGAATAAGGAGTACCTCCAATTCTTACAATTGTCTTACTCTTTTAAATAAAAAGAAGTGGTTTTTTCCCCCCTTTTCTTTACTAAAGCAGTCATTTTTATTTTAAATAATTTTTTATTGTTATGTTAATCACCATACATCATTAGTTTTTGATGTAGTGTTCCATGATTCATTGTTTGTGCATAACACCCAGTGCTCCACGCAGAATGTGCCCTCTTTAATACCCATCACCAGGCTAACCCATCCCCCCCCTCCCCTCTAGAACCCTCAGTTTGTTTTTCAGAGTCCATCGTCTCTCATGGTTCGTCTCCCCCTCCGACTTACTCCCCTTCATTCTTCCCCTCCTGCTATCTTCTTCTTTTTTTTTTTCTTAACATATATTGCATTATTTGTTTCAGAAGTACAGATCCGTGATTCATCAGTCTTGTACAATTCACAGTGCTCACCATAGCACATACCCTCCCCAATGTCTATCACCCAGCCACCCCATCCCTCCCACCCCCCACCACTCCAGCAACCCTCAGTTTGTTTCCTGAGATTAAGAATTCCTCATATCAGTGAGGTCATATGATACATGTCTTTCTCTGACTGACTTATTTCACTCAGCATAACACCCTCCAGTTCCATCCACGTCGTTGCAAATGGCAAGATCTCATTCCTTTTGATGGCTGCATAATATTCCATTGTGTATATATACCACATCTTCTTTATCCATTCATCTGTCGATGGACATCTTGGCTCTTTCCACAGTTTGGCTATTGTGGACATTGCTGCTATAAACATTGGGGTGCATGTACCCCTTCAGATCCCTACATCTGTATCTTTGGGGTAAATACCCAGTAGTAAAGCAGTCATTTTTAATCGAAGGCCTGTGGAGAAAGTACAGAGAGTTGCTGAATTTGGATGACTAGAAAAGCATCTTTGTTTTCACTAATCTTATAACTGATAAGATTACATTCAATTATAAATGTTGGAAATAAACTATAGTATTATTAGCAATACATATGACTGTCACAATAGAAATTACAGATATTTTTATATCCCATTATAGTTTTTGCATGAATCTTATATATTTCACATATCTTATTATTTATGTTCATGCCTTCTTCAAATTATAGTCATTATTAGATCTATTAGATCTTGTTTATATTAATAAAACAGTAAATAATTAAGTATTATGGTATTATAAGTTTTTTATATTTTGATAATTTGACTGAATTAGCCTTCTGTTATTCATTTATATTTTATTTTATGCATTTAAAAACACTATCTGAGAAAAGAGGTTCACAGGCTTCATCAGATTGCTAAGGGGTTCATGACACACAAAAGATTCTGAGCCTTTGTCCCAAAGAGACAAGTGCCTATAAAGGAATATGTGATTATTTATATAAACTACTATTTTATCTTGGATTCCCAGCTACACCTTTCTCTGGTTTAGTCCATTAAAATTTGCTTTTTAACATATGGTTTACGTCTTTACAAGGTATTTGGAAAAGGGTCTATTTTGGTTTTCAGTGACCCATGAGTTCAGAGGGCATTAAAAAAAGAAGTCTTGAAATCAGACTTAACTTATCAAGAATAACCCTTCCTATTTACATAGGTTAACTTTGAAGTTTCAGGACTTAAGCATTTCTGTTAAGTCGCTTTTCTAACTTACTGTTTTTGTATGAGGTTGTCAGGATGCTGAAACCCAGTGATGTTGAAGCTCCATTTTAATTCATGGCTTAGAGGCCATAGGTTCAAGTTACCTTGGATGGTTGTGATATAAAACTCAGTTTTATGTTAATTATATGTTAAAGCCCTTCAAGGTCATTTTCTCTCCAAGGAACATCATCATCTGGCACCTTCCCCACTGCTGCCCTCGGACCACCTTTGTGTGGTGCATTTGACTTTGTCATTGGCAGGTGCCTGACAGCTCTGTTCCTTTGGGTCAGCAGTGGGGGCTGGGCAGAGAGACAGAGCCTTGAGGTCAAGTTTCTTGCCTTGGACACCTTGGAACATTGCTAGTGTTAAAGCTCCAGTGCCAGTTCTTGCTTACCTGACCTGAACTTGATACTTCAGTTTTATGTTGCCTAAAGCAAGTCTGCTAAGTTGCTCTAAAAACTTGAATAAAGTATGAAGTACTCAATTTTTGGTGCAGTAGATTCCCATTTCTTTTGATACAACACTTCATGGTGCATTACAAGCTCCCATTGATCCTGAGAGGAGATTGTTTGGAAGCGTGACTGAGTTTTCCATAGTTTTTTTTTTGGGGGGGGGTTGGTGGGAGGGGTGGCATTTAATCCATGAAAATAACAGCTAGCTTTGTGTTGACCTGCCTACATTGTCCTCCTTACATTTTTATGCTTGTATTTACCATATTCCTGATAGGTGGTTGTTCCTCTGTCAGAATACTTTTAGTGATTGTGAATCTTTTACTTAATGAAACAGTCCAGTTCACTGTTAATAATATAAAGAAGAGTCATAATATTTATTAGGTGCTTCCTATATGCTAGACTCTTATATGAAGGACTTTACATTTATTAAATGCAATCTGACAACAATCCTAAGAATGGTAGATACCATCAGTAACATCGTTTCAGAGATGGGAAACCAAGAAGCAGAAGTGAAATAACTTGCTCAAGGCTCTAGCCAGTATGTGGCAGAGTTGGAATTTGAACAAAGGCAATCTGACTTCAGAGCTCAGGCTCTTAGATCTGCTTTTCTTCTTCTGCCTATTGGATTAAAGCAATTTCAGAAATGCTTCATTTAAGCTGTAAGAGTAGTTAGCTAGTAGGATCTGATGTGTTACATCAATTTACCACGTTGATAGCTGTGAAGCCAAACAAGCAGTCTTCAGTTGACTTTGGTATTTTATTATTTGAATATTCTGAATGTGCATTTTTAGCATTTTTTTTATGTGTGTTTATAGGGATGCTTCCTTTGGAAATTGCACTTACAATCTCACCATCCTCGACTGTTTGCAGGGAATCAGAAAGGTAATAATAATTCTCCTTGCTATAGTTGGCGCAGAAGTTTCAAAATATGAAAAAGGAATAATGTCAATATCCTTGTTTGCTTTGGAGAGAAGAGAAGGCAGGCAGTTAGCAGAGGGCTTTCCACTTCTTGATGGAATGATTGATCTGTAAAACATAGCCTGTTGAGCAAATTGAGGGGGGGTGCCTTGGGGTAACTCTCTAGCTCCTTATTGAAGTAGAAGGGGTTTCCCTTTCTCATTTAAATGATTCCTCTTCCTGGGCAGACGTATTGCTTCTATCTGCCTCTGTGCCTGTGACATTGCTTTGTCACCGGCTCAGCTTCCTTATCAAGCTTGAGCTTGGTGTGGGAGAGATAGGAAGCCACTCTGCACCTCTCTTCATGTGGAGGAGAACATTTCCATGTTGGTTTCCTACCTGGATATTATTACATGCCAGTAAAGAAGTAAGTGGGCCAGATACTATTATCTTATTGTTTTAGCTGAGGAAACAACCCCAGGGAGGTTAAGTCACTCTTAGGGCCACAGGGAGTTATTAGCAGGGCTCATTCTAACTCACATTTCCTTATCAATTTGGAGCTTTCTAATATCCTATCAGGGCGTCTTATAAATCAATGTTTTGTCAAAGTGTGGGGCTCGCTAGAGATGCAAATTCTGAGTCCTTCTCCGAGACTGATGGAACCATAAATTATGGGAGTGGGGCCGTGCAGTCTGTGTTTGAACAGCCCTTCTGGGTGATTTGATGCACTTTACAGTTTGGAGGCATAGTTATTTAAGTTATTCATATGTATAATGGAGAAGTGAATCTAAAATATTTTTGAGAACTTTTAGAACTTGTTCTAGAAGCATTGATTTACTGAAAAGTCATGCATGCTATACTGTGAAATTTTTTTAAACAAAATTTTAAGAGATTTTATTTATTTATTTGAGAGAGAGAGAGAGAGAGAGAGCATGAGCAGGGGGAGGGTCAGAGGGAGAAGCAGACTTCTGCTGAGTAGGCAGCCCCGTGTGGGGCTCGATCCCAGGACCCTGGGATCATGACCTCAGCTTAACTGACTGAGTCACACAGGCACCCCTATACTGTGAAATTCTGATGAAGGTTCAAAGTACATCATTCCATCTTGAACATATAGCCATGATTTAGAAGTCAGGAATGTATATATTGCATAGCCCATGGGCAAGGATCCTTATGGATTATAGATACACTATAAGCATGATTCTTGTTCTAGTTTCTTTTCTCTGATGTAATATAAGACTGATTTTGTTACATTTTGAGTTGAGAAAATTGGTATAAGTATGCTAGTTTTATGTATGTTTGTTTTTGACTTTGATATTTCATTTAAATATGAATTTAAAAGTTTGTAATCTGTAAAAGTTTAAAATAGTTTCAAATATTTTTCTTTCCACTTAAAGACTGTCAAAATACTCTAGCTCACCCTGCAAGTAATGTCACCAACTCAGACTTCTAGTAACACAAGTTAAGAACCCTTATGGAGAGATTATTCAATATATAATCCACAATTACAGCATTTAAGAAGTATGCCCAAGGGGAAAAAACAAGTAATTTATTATTGTTATTGTTGTTGTTGTTCCTATTTTGCCTGTTCTGCCATCTGGTACAGGCTATTTCTTTTATAAATGTATGAAGTTCAGGAAGAGTTCACACTGGAAGATCCCCGCCTGTTATGGTAGCTTGGTAACTGGATATAGAAATTTATGACATCCTTCCTGTTAGAGAGGAAAGGTGTGACTTTGTTCATGGATAAGGTCTTCTGTAAATTTCTTGTTTCATCAAGTGCCGGGGTTTATTATAGCCAAACGCAGATGAGATTTTAGAAGATCTGACAGATGTTCAACATGTCTTTAAGCAACTGAGGCACATTACCTCACTCCACACTTAAATAAACTCCCATATTCTGGGCAATTGCCATGGCAATGAGTACCATACTCCTAAGAGTGTAGACAGAGTATGGCTGCATTTTTGCCTCTTTAGGAAGCATGTCTTTCTGATTTTGTTGTATTAGCATCATCATAAGCATAGTTTACATGGGTGTGAACTACACACAGAAACATACATAAATACACATTTTAAATGAAGAGAAAGGAAGGAAGGTTGAAGGCCCGGGTATATTTTTCTCACTTCTTTCACTGGAATGGTGCATATGGACCCACTAAGTTGCTTTGTTTAAAGGTGAGATAATTTATATAACTTGCTTTGCTTCTAATAGTAGGTGTGGACTAACCCATTGTTGTCAGGATTTATCATTTATAAGAATCACCTAGAAGGCGTGTTAACATGCTGATCCTAACCCCAGAGAATCACATTTAATAGTTCTGGGATTTAGGGGTTTAGGACTGAATTTTAAATCTAAATTACTGCAAGTGCTTCTGTTGCAGGTGATCTGTATTCTGCGTTTTAGAAAACGTTGGTCTCTAACGTATTTTTGAAGATATATGTACTGGAGCTTGGCTTCATAGTTTCTTCTATTTTTAATGACTTGAATATGTAACTTTTAAAAGTAACGGTGGTTTTGTATTCTATTATAATCTGTACAGCTTCATGACTTATAAAATAAAAGACTGTCCGCTTCAAAATATTATATCTGAGCAAGCTGGATAGTTTTTAAAAGTTCTAAGTCATTAGTTATAAAAAGGAGTAATGAATGTTCTCTTTGTGTTGTTAAAAATATCAGCTCTTCCTCTAAATTGTAAGAGCAGTCAAGTACACTTTTACCCTGTCAGTAACCATGACCATAAAACAGATGCTCTCAAAGAGTTTTAGGAATAAATAAGGGCCTATGAAGTAAAAATACCCTTTTTGCTAAGTATCTCATTAATGATAAAAGGAAAACAAAACCTCCTAAGAATATTCTTCTCCTATCTGAAAAGATAATCACTATTATAAATCCTATCATAGTTTGATATGAATTAATTGCATAGTTCCCAATAGGTTTTATTTTTTTTTAAAGATTTTTATTTATTTGAGAGAGCAAGAATGAGAGAGAGAGAGAGCACATGAGAGGGGGGAGGGTCGGAGGGAGAAGCAGACTCCCCGCTAAGCGGGGAGCCCGATGCGGGACTCGATCCCGGGACTCCGGGATCATGACCTGAGCCGAAGGCAGTCGCTTAACCGACTGAGCCACCCAGGCGCCCCCCAATAGGTTTTAATTCTACATTTGCTAGTATGTTCCATTATATATATATATATATATAATTAATTTATTACATATAAAACTAATGTAAATTAGGACTCTAGATATATTTTGTGGAACATATTTTCATGCTTTTCTAAATGTTAAGTCCCACTTGTGAGAAAGTCTCAATGCAAAATTACCAATGTTAGAAGATGATATCTAGATAAAAGGTTTCAAGCTTTTTCCTTCAGGTTAGTGAGAATCATTTGTGAGCAGGAATTCTAGGAATGGCTAGAGGACTTACCAATTTGGTATGGAAATCTAATTCAAATTCTGCTTCTAGGGATTACAACATGGATTTTTTGACTTTGAGACATTTGATGTGGATGAATATGAACATTATGAGGTTTGTACATTTTAATTTTTTACAAGATATAATTTCATGTTAATTAAAATCCCCTGCCCCCCATTCTCCCCTCTGCCCCCCAACACTCAGGTATTGCAAATTGAGTGGCTGCTAAAATAAAAACATTCTGGAGTTTTCTATAGTTGTCAGTTTTGTCCTTTCAGCTTTGGTTATTGCCTTTGAACCAGGAATCACCAAAATTTTAGTTTGGGAAAATGTCATATCTATAATGTTCTTTCACCAAACCTCTGTTAACAGTTACTGTGCACATTTAGTTTATAAGAAAAAATAATTTCGAAGTATAGTTTGATAGTGAAACTGAGTTTCTGTTATTTTAAAAATTCAGGTTCTGTTTAAAACAAAACTGGACTTGTGCCTTGTAATATTTTTGACTGCCTAAATTTTATTTTGAAATATGGCTGAATTTACCTAGTTGTACGAGTTGGCTGAATTTTTTCCCCATAGCATCATGAAGCTTTTGAATAATGTCTTGCCTATTCAGTGATGCAGAGTTTAGGCAAGGGCTGTCCCAGCTAGGTTGTGGTGTAAGAAGACACTGAAGAAGCAGTTAGCTTTTCTGGAAGATGAGAAGCTTGTAGAATGTGAGTAGGCCCAACATTCTATGAAAGGAAGCTCAACTGTTGGGGTTCTTCAGAGGACTTGTGAAATGTATCACTACCCTTAGTAAGAGAGGGCAGCCCTCCCCCTTTGGCTCTAGTTCAGGATGTCTGTTTGGATATTCTGCTTACATGTTAAACTTAACATGTCTGAAAAGAAACTGATGATCCTTCACTCAAACGTGGTCTTCTGCTTCATTCATCTGTATTAATGGCACCACCATCCTGCAGTTTACCCAGGCTCAAGAACAGAAATGCTGCTGTTTCCCTCCCTAATCTAACCAGTACTTGAATTCCTGGGCTGTGTTTCATCTTTCCTGTCCTTTCTGTTCTCTCTTCTCACTTCCTTCCCTCTGGCTCAGGTGTCGTGCCCTCTCTTGTGGACTATTAGAAGCGCTCTCTAACGAGCGCTGGCCCTTCTCCTGTTGGTCTTTCACCCACGTGACTGAGTGATCTTAGAACAGAACTCTCATCATTCTTGGCCCCAAACTGCATTGCCCTGCAGAAATGGGGACAAACTCCTCTGTCCTGGCATTCTTAGTGTGGATGGGCTCCAGCCCACCTTGCTAGCCTTGTCTTCTGTTTGCTCACCATGCACCCTCTGCATGCCAACCCCATTGAGCTTTGTGTTCACTGCTTCCTGAATGTCCCCATGTCCTGGCTGAGCTTCCTTTCTGCCAGATACCTGTCCCCTTTAACGTTTCCCCTCCTCCATTTTGTGTAGGTCATATCTACACAGATCATTACTCTCTTGAGTATTTTCTCCCTTCAATTTCATGTGTTACAATTTGTACTTTCCATGTTTCCTGTATCTTCGTTTTACTTTTCTTACTGGATTGCAAATTCCTTGTGGTTAGGACATGACTAAGTGAAAAAATTTATACTGAGTACTTGGATAGAAAGGTTTAACATCATAAAACTGCTATTTCTCTTCAAATTAATAAATTTAGTACAATTAAAAATCTTGAGTACTCCTTTTTTTTTAAACCATAAAAACGTTGTTCAACATGGCATTTTTAGTAGTGGCAAAAGAATCTACCCTCTCAAACCCCGCCCCCACCCCCAATTAGAAACAGAGACTGTGCACTCGTAAGGGAAGGTTGAATAAGCTATAGTACACACATACCATGGAATGTTATGTGGTCATGTGAAAAGGTGAATTTGAGCTATACCACTTGTCTTGGGATGATTTCCATAATATGTCGTTTAGAAGAAAAGATATAGACAAGTGCTCATAATATAATCCCCCCCCTTTAATTAACAATAATGAGATCCCATTTCACTCATATATGTATATCTGTATTATATGAGCAGAACTGATTTCCTGTGAAGCTAATAAAGCTTAAATTTTAGAGACCCCTCACTTTCATGGGCACTTTTTAAGGTCCTATACCTAATTTTGTCTTCATAATTTTGTATTCTTTTCTTAAAGTGGGCTTCCAAATTGGATAAGTTTCATGTTCCATGTATATGAACATGGAAAAAATCATGTGGCAAAATGCTAACGCCATTTCCATTAAAGGAGATATTGGGGTGGGGACTCAAGAGGAGGAGGAAGGAACAAGTACCATAATAAAGAGAAAAAATTAGTTGACATTTTACTTATTCCTTCATCTTTTTTTTTAAACTTTATTTTATTTTAAAGATTTTATTTATTTATTTGACAGAGAGAGACACAGCAAGAGAGGGAACACAAGCAGGGAGAGTGGGAGAGGGAGAAACAGGTTTCCCGCCGAGCAGGGAGCCTGATGCGGGGCTCAGTCCCAGGACCCTGGCTGGGATCATGACCTGAGCCGAAGGCAGATGCTTAACAACTGAGCCACCCAGGTGCCCCTTTATTTTAAAAAATTTAATGTTGATGTTGAGAGGTAGTTGGAAAAGCTGTTGAAAAACCTGAGACAGTACAGTCTCATTCTTGCAAATCAGCCAACTGGCCAACCAAAAAAATCTGTTAAGAATGTAGTCATATCCTCACCTGAATAAACAAAAACAATAACAACAACAACCCAAGTAATAATGGGAGGCAGGAGGCAGTTGGCGAACATTTGAAAAGTTTTCTATCATATTACTTCCTTTCTGAGATTGATATATCTATTCTATCATAAAGACCAGGAAAAGAAAATCACAAAGAGAACTATACTTTTTGGGGAGTGAGCATTTCATAAATGCTACTTAATGAATAAATAAAGGAACTCTCTTCCCGACAATCTGTGGGCCTGATCCTCTCTTGTCATGATTTCTCTCACTGTTCTCTTATGGGCTTTAGCAAGTTTGGACATTGGGTGAACTTGTGGGATAGCTAGATACACATATTTCGTGTGTTCCAACAAAGTCAGTATTCCAATGAACACATTGTGGTTTTCAAAGTAAGATTTTATCATTGGCAACAAATTAGAAGACTGTAAGTCTTGATTATGGGGGATGTTCAGGATGAAGTTTTTCAAAGGCACTTCTTGACTGAACTACATTTAATATATAATTTGGCTCAAGAAAAAGCCTAAATTAATGAGACTGCATCTCTGTGTGAGATTGAAGGGCAGTTTTATGATAAAAATGCCAAATGTTAATGACAAGGTCAGCAGAACACGGGAAATACTCATTTTATAAAGTCTACAGGTAAACCTTTGCTCATTCTGCAAAGGGTTATATCCATTTTCCTCCTGCGATTCATGGGTCTAGAGCAGTGCTGTCCAATAGAAATATGAGAATTATAGATATTATAAACATTCTAGTAGCCACATTTAGAAAAAGTAAAAAGAAATGATGAAATTAATTGTAATATATTTTATTTAATTCAATATACCTAAAATATCATTTCAACATATAATCAATATAAAAATTATTAATGAAGTATTTTACATTTTTATTTTTGAACTAAGCCTTCAAATCTCAGCATGTCGTTTGCTCTATGGCACATCTCAGTTTGGACGAGTCGCATTTTTTTTAAAGTAGGCTCCACACCCAGCAAGGAGCCCAATGTGGGGCTTGAACTCATGACCCTGAGTGAGCTGAGATCAATAGTTAAAAGCTTAACCGACTGAGCCACCAGGTCCCCCTGGACTAGGCACATTTCAAGTGCTCAGTAGCTGCATGTAGCTAGAGGTAGATTCTGTAGGGACAGGCTTGGCCATGATCTATTGTGTTCCCTCAGAATGACATGGGGTTAGCAGAACAAGTTATGTGACCTTGCTTCAGATGATCTAATTATTCACATAAGAGTTAAAACCATGTCATATTTAGAAGGCTTGGGGTAAGATATCTCAGGCTCTTGCTTTATTTTCATGGGACTTGCAAAATGGCCCATTAATTATTGATGAAGAAAAGTATCTTCCAAAATGTGGTCTCTCAGGTCCTTTACCAAGTTGTTGAACTGTGCATTTTTCACACTGGTGCTGATAAACAGAGGTAATTCTGGCAGCTATGCCATGAAGGCCCCATAAAGTAACTGCAAGAAGGTGGTCCCAAAACTTCTCCTAAGAATCAGTGTCCAAACATTCATACTTTTCCCACAGGTTTCTCAAGATACTTTCAAAGAACTGAGAGAGCAGCCACCCTTTTGAAATGTAGCCATTCATGGGTTCACTTGAGAAGTGGAAATAGACTTTTTGCCCTCGGGAACAGCAGTGAAGATGAAAGAGCTTGAGTAATCAAATTATGTTCCTGTGGGTATGTGAGGCTACGGCTCACATACCGTACTCTCACAAACCTCTATATGGTTACTGCTCATGTATGATAATATTCTGCTTGTGAGACCCCGAAGTAACACCCATACACAGAGTCTGCCTTCAGTCAGCCTTTTTTAAATTCTTTTTTTGGGGAACCATCCTTACCAAATAAGGCCTTGCTGAAAATGAATGGTGCTGCTCTTAAGCATTATTTTAAGTCATTATTCCTCAGAGAGAACTTGAAGTTGTGCCTTACATTTGTTATTTGGATGTCTCTGAGGGGCTTTCTACTGTTTACCGGAAGGCAGCCATTTTGATGATGTCTCTTTGTTGGCCACACACAGATAAACGCCCAGAGCAGCATCCTGTCCCCAGGAGAGGGAAGGGGGAGAGAAGGGCAAAGAAACAGGCTTCAGGGGCAGCATGTGGAGATGCCTCATGGCCGTGGCAGGCATTTATTATCCCATCCAGAATTCGGCCCATGCAATGGCTAGGAGTTGCCTTAAACACCTTTTTGGGGATTAGATGGAGCTTCAGGTTTATGTAAAGCCTACTTCAAAAATGAAGAAATTACTTTGACTTCATTCTTGGAGTTATTTTATATCTTCCACTATCTTTTTTTTCCCTCCATGAATCATTCCTTTTTGAGAAAAAAAAAAAGTGCTTTCAGTGAAGTAGCATTGTCAGTGTGAGGATAGTTCCCAGAATTATTGACTTG